AGCAGGCAGGCGCTGCCTGCACCGCCAACAGCTGCGCCAAGGCTGCAGTCACCTGACAGCCCCGCGACTTGCTCCGTGTGAGCAGCGTTGCCCTGTGCGTCCCACTGTCAACTCCGTACGCCACAAGTAAATTTTACAACCAGAGGACACGGCAGATAGTAAAACCTTACTAAACTCTACAGAAATGCTAAAGGAAACGAAGAAACACGACTATGTGCTTTCATAACACGTTTTAACACAGCAAAGCGTGCTGGACTACAGGATCAAACTCCAGTACTCAAACCACCGGAGCTAATTCAGGATAATGCCTTGCCTTTAAAGCTATGAAGAGCCTGTTTCCCGCAGATTTCACCGTAGCCGATATTCACAAGTTCCTTTTATCTCTGCCACCTGGAGAACTGCTATGAACTGAACTTCAAAACATATTTCAAGGTTGCTTTTATAGCAACTTACTATAAATAATGAAAGAAAGTTAATGCATTGAATACACGCAATCATTGAAACCAATCATGGTTCTCTAATCTCTTCTTTTGTCCACTAAATACCAAGCCATCCTTCATACTGCCTTTTCAGCCCCGCATACTCGTGCCTGAACTGGCATGTTGCTTCAGTTCATTGCTCCAAGGGTTGAACTTGCCTACAATCCCCCTCACACCCCTCCCAGCACTTTCCAGGGTTGGAAAGCAGACTAACTTCCTCTGAGAGCACCGAGTATGCAGCCAAGCGGTCCTACAGACTTGGTGCGGCTTTGAGATTCATTTTAACTTTTGTTATTTTAAGATGACAAAAATGCTTCATTTCAGAAATACAAAGAAATCTCAGATAGTCTGCGGAAAAAAAAGCAGCTACGGAGGCAAAAAAGGAACAGAGTATGGGATATTGAGGAGTTTAAAAGGATAAACATGAATAATTGAAAGGAAAATTATATGAAGATTCTGCTCTTCCTATAATTATTTTTTTATCATAAGATGATCATATTAAAAATTCCAATACGTACACAAAATACAGAAGTTAGCACCCATTACCAAAGGAGTAACTTTAGCACCGAGAAATGAATTTCCTCTTATTCACAGGAAAAGGGAACACATACAACAGTGGATGCTTACAGAATGAAGGAGAAGACTCAGTAACTGGGATAGGGCTCCATGATTCCCAATATTTGTGGTGGCTTTTAAGCTATAAACATGATCTCAGCACCAGCTGTGGGCTCCTACAGCACCATTACATTCCAAACACATACGTTCTGCTGTCTCCTCTCCCCATGCCCCTGGAAACCAGTCAGATCAAAATCATAGGCAAGAACATTCAGAACGGACCTTTCGGTACCTCACTTAATAAATACAGCACTTATCTAAAGGTCTGTCAAATTCCACCCAAAATACAAACTGTCACGAAGGTAGGTTTAAAAACATTACCATCTCCAAACACTTGACAAGGTTAAGACACCCTGACAATTAGTCATCAGCAGTCTTTACTTTAAAAGAATAAATAAAAAAAAACCAAACCAAGAAAAAACCCAAACAGAATAAATGGCATTAGGCTATATCTGCATTAGCAATTTGGCACAACTGAAGCAGATCAAAACACAGCTGCTGCTGAAGTCTTTACACCTATACTATATGAAGCCCAGGAGGTTTTTTTCTGCAGGCCACATTTACTCAAACTTCCTGAACCAGATCCTACCACAGCAGGTTCAAAGCTGCCAAAAATGATCGATAACTGGTCAAACCTCTACGATCCTATCAAGGATGAGAGTACGTTTGGTGCACGCAAGGAGTGGAATGGCTTAGTTTCTTTTGAAAGAAGCCTAGTTAGCACATACCGAGACCACTCTGGTAAACAAACAAATGGGCATGATAAACAGGGACAATGAGGTGATTTGCTTCAAGACTGAACTCTTCTCCAAATAAAACTCTAACACAAATGGCCTTAATACTCTTTGAAAGGCCAAGCATTTCTCTCAGTCATCACTATTTTCAATCCCTGATCAGTCTTCGCTGTTTTCCTGTCTCAAAACAAATGAAGATGTGTTTCTTTTGGGGAAGTACTGCTTTGAATAACCTCATTAACAATTCTAACGTGAAGGTGAACTAAATGATGTTTTACAAGTATATGAAAGAAATTATTCAAGGTCATTAGCAAGTATGGTAAACCTTCAGGTACAAGACTACATAAAAATAAGATAGTACTAAATTCCCTCTGTGATAACATACCAGCTATTATACTAGCTCAGTTCAGGGAGTGCAATCAGGGACCCTTGGGCTGCGGACATCACCATCAGTCTCAGTTTCATCTTGAAATAAAGGAGCACACCAGAAAGAACAGCTATCATACATTGCCTTTTTTGTCTTTTAAAAATTATGTAAGTTCCTATGGCTGTTTCATTTTCGTTCTTCTTGTCTTTTTCTTCCCTGTTTTTTAGCAGATTCTTTTTCAATTTTTCTAAAATTAATTTTCTCAATGCATGCAGAGATACTATGTTTGATAAAGCAAAATTTCTAGTACTTAATGCTCAAATATAGCATACAAGTCATTATCTAGTTCCTCTGTCCTTACCATCAGCTCAAATGTACAAATGCAATTGCTGTCTCTTACCATTTCCAAACAAAGAAACATAAATATCCCAATGACTTCAATGTAAACTTAATGACATACAGCACTTTAGATGCATCTAAGCAGTCAAAGGCACGTTTTGCTACAATTTTTGCATTTGCTGAGTAAACCTTTCTGCATAATTCCTTATAAGACAAGAATTCATAATCAATACAGCAGGAAGCACCTGGGGTCTTGCAACAGTTGTTACAAAGATGCCACTAAGGAATTTGCTAAAGATACCAGTTTGCTCTCACTGTGAAACTGGCATCAGATGGAACCAGCTCCTACCAATCCAAAGTAGCTCCCCGTTAATATGCCATGGTGATTCGCAAGGATCCAATTATTTCCATATACGCTCCTAGAGATCTGCAAGGCTCCACATTATTTCCTATTTGGCTACTCTTGTTTTTGAAGTACCAAGTACAGGATCCCAGTTTTACTTGTATATTTCTAAATACCCATCTGTTCCAATCCTTTTCTCTTTTATTTTTCTTTTAAATAAATTTCAGCAGTGCTGAAGAATTGCTCAGTGTTGCCTTACAAACCTCAGTAACTACTATATGTACAGAAGTGTCTTTAAATTCTCCCTCCCCCAAAACATTTCAGTAACACCTACAGGAAATCCAGAGTTGAAGCAACAGCACCGTATTTCACAGATGTTACTGGGTCTCGTACGATGCTCCTGTTAAAACGCAGCAGGGCTTCCCAGATCTCCGTCACCACATGAGCGCTTATGCCTAAGTTTGAGGCCCATTGCTAATCACTCCTACTTGCCAGAACGACCCGATTTCACATGCACTTGTACACCTGGCCCAGAAACGCGATCTCCGTGGAGTCTCCTTTGCCCTTCAAACACCCCCTTCCAGAACAGGCACAGAACAGTGGCTTGTGGCACACTGATTTCTAGGCTACCCTCCTGACTGGCATATTACTTGTTATGGACCGGTCAGGGAACATAACCATATTTATATTAACAGCGTGTAAAGACAGCAGAAGAATAAGTCTACCATTTACCAATTCATCAGCACATAGTGGGAAAAAAAAAAAAAAAATCCCAGAGCTCTCAACTAATTTCCCTCTTCACTTTTCTCCCTGTCTCATTATCTACCATGTGTGATCTCTCTCTCAAGCAGACTTCAGTAACAAAGAATAATTAAATGGTAATCATGAGAAGTATTCTTTTAACAAATGTGGGTAGCTATTGCTGCAGCCCAACCCAACCACTAAACACCGCACTCAAGGAAAAAATAAAGAGGAAAATACGCCATTATTTTTACGGATACCGAGAGCGGACCTTTTAGAATTTCACAATGTATACACAATGACCAACTTTCATAAATGCTACTTCCATTTATGTCTTAATTTAAAATGTTATCTAAGCATTTTACTTTCAATTCAGCTTCTTATTTAAAAGATTTGCCATGTTAGCCTATGTTGCAGCTAGGTACACAACTCCAACTATTCTAGCTGTTTATTAATAAAATCATAAAATCATTTAGGTTGGAAAAGACCTTGAAGATCATCGAGACCAACCATAAAACTAATATTGCCAAGTCCGCCACTAAACCACGTCCTGAAGCACCACGTCTACGCATCTTTTAAATACCTCCAGGGATGGAGACTCAACGACATAAAGCTACGTATCAGCTAGTAGGCAATAAGCAAACATGAAAAATTAAAGTTAGCAAAATTCACCTTCGTTACCACATGTATATCATCATTACTACCTAATTCATTGCAACTAAACTCAAGAGGCTGGCTGATCTTAAAGTAAGGGCTTAGAACTCCAGAACATGAACTTCCAAAGCCAAGTACGGCTACAGATCCATGAAGGCAGAAGTTAGCAATTTCCTTAAAGACCACTTTTTATTTTTAGATATCTTCCATTT